CTAAACCTAACACTAGCCCTAGCCTTAACTGTAACCCTCGTCCTAGCCCTAACCCTAGCACTAGCCCTAACCCAAGCCCTAACCCTAACCCTAAACCTAACCCTAAACCTAACCCTAGCCCTAACCCTAACCTTAACCCTAGCCCTAAACCTAACCCTAGCCCTAACCCTAACCTCAGCCCTAACCCTAATGCTAACTTCAGCCCTAACCCTAACCCTAGCCCTAACCTCAGCCCTAACCCTAAACCTAACACTAGCCCTAACCCTAACCCTAGCCCTAGCCCTAACCCTAACCCTAGCCCTAGCCCTAACCCTAACCCTAACCCTAGCCCTAGGCCTAGCCCTAACCCTAACCCTAGCCCTAGGCCTAACCCTAACCCTAACCCTATTAGTAGTGTTCTCTAACAGTTGTCCTGATATTTGAGAAGATGGCTATCTGAAAGCCATAAGCTTCCTTTGGAGGATAGTGATATTATGGGGAGTAAGTGCCGTCTGGTCCTTTCCTAAGGTCACCTTGGTTGCCCTGGAACCAGCAACACCACATTAGCCACCGCCCACAAACAGGCGGACCAGCCCTTGGCCACGATGTCCAGTTCTTCACTCAGATATCCCACAGGCTGTTGGCCAGGGCCCCGGGCTTGGGTCAGTACTCCTAGGCTCCCCCCACCCTCCGCCCCGTTTCAGTTACATGTAGTTTGAATTCTTTCCCGGGAGGGGTGGGCGGGGGATGGTGGGGAGACTCAAGGCTGGGGCTGGTTAAACACACACTTGGACTCAGGCTCCCATTTAATAAATCGGCCTTCATTCATTTGAGTCTCTTTCACTAGTAGGTATAAAGGTCTGGCTATTTCTACAGAATCCCATTATCTCCAGAAATCCTCTTAATTGTTTGAGTGTCTGAGGGGGTGGGAAGGAAGAGATGGGTCTGATCCTGTCCTCTCCCAACACCCTGGTGCCTTTGGTCAGGTTTAGCCCTAACACTTTATGGAGGCCTTGCAGAGCTGGGCTGTGGTCCTCTCTCAGCCTGTGTGCCTCCTGTGAGATTTCCTGGGTGGGGGCACTGCGGAGGGATCATCCACCTACTGTAGCATCCTAGCCTGTGAGTAAACTGATTTAAATCCTGCACTAATCCCGGACCAAGCAAGGCGGGGGCGGTGCTGTTCCTACACCCCTGAGCCAGAACAGTCCAAGTTAGTGGGGTGGCTGGTCAGAGGGATCCTCAAATGCAAAGAGCTACTGTGAGTCCCGGTCAAGGGGAATGCAGCAAAAAGCATCCTTGAGGTCCAATACCGTAAACCATTCAGAGTCCTGAGGGATTTGAGACAGCCCAGGGTATGGATTAGGAACTACGGGGTGTCAGGGTGCCACCGCCTCAGTTATTAGGCGGAGATCCTATTCCAGTCTCCATTCCCTGCTGGGTGTACTCCCAAGATGGGGGAGTTTCGAGGGCTATTGCAGGGCTTCAGGAGATCCTGTTTTCAGGTTTTCTACAATTACTTGTAAGCCTTTTCTAGCCTCAGGCTTCAGGGGGTACTGCTTCTGGTGGGGAAAGGAGGTTGGGTCCTTGAGATGTATTCGGACAGGAGTGGTCCTGTGGCCCATCCCACCTTTCCTTGTGCGGCCCATACTTCTGGGCTGATCAATTTCAATCAGGGGCGGGCGTAACGCCTGCTCGGGGGCCATATGTATTGTAGTACCCAATGAGCTAGTATATCTCGCCCCAGAAAGGGGGTCAGACTTTCTGGCATGATCAGGAAGGCAGTGAGAATCGGAAATCACCCCAGTTACTGCAGAGAGGCTGGGAGAATTGCCTAGTTACAGGTTTCCCGAGACGCCGCTCACGGAATAGGTGGCTCCAGGGTCCAGGAGGAAGTTGACTTCCTTTCCTTCAACAACCAGAATCACTCAGGGCTCTGAGCTGTTGGGTTTGTTGTCTTGAGAAGTGGACAAATGAATTCATGGACAATGAGGGGTAAGCAAAGGGAAGTGAAGTTTATTACAGTGAAAGTAACAAAGCTCTCAGCACGCAAGAGTGGTCCCGAAATGGGTTGCCGCCAACACTCGGTGGTCTAGGGGTTTATATTTCCTGCTCGTGCCTTCTATTGGCTCTTTCAAAAATAACACCAGCCAATCTCCTTTTGCCCTCCTCTTCCTGCTCTTAGTTCCCACTCTTGGGTTCCGAAAGAAGGGCAGCTCTGCCGGTGACTGGTCCATTCAGTCTATCTTGTTCACATCCTGACCATCTGGCTCATTCCTGCATTCTCTACCCTCTTCCCTCCCTGCAGCCCTTACCCTATACTGCCTGATCCCATCTAACTCCTCAATAGTTTGGTTCCTTTTACCAGAAGCATCTGGTGCAAATAACTGTATTGTGAAAATATGTATTTTCAAAAATAAGTCTTTTTAGCCTAATAATAATGCCAA